CAGAGACTTCTCAGAAGGCCGGGGTGACTTCCGAGCCTTCTGTTGAGCAGGGACCGACCGCCCCGGTAGTTCTATAGGCCTACCACGACATGTTCTCAACACACCAGAGTGTTCTAAGAACAAAACAACGTTCTTAGAACATGAACCCGCTGTGTTAAAACAACACGGACTCAGCCAGAAATGCTCTAATAACATTTCGTGCAAACCACAAGAGGTTCTTAGAAGATTCTTTGGTGGACCCATAGGCGAGCTAGGACGCTTCGTCACTGCTTGATTCTGAGAAGGCCCGCCCCCTCTCACTCCCCCCCCCTCGCTCGCCGCCGACAGAGGGTGGGCGTGCAAGGAGGAGCTCGCAACCGTTGGGCCGAGGCGAGTGCGCGGACGGAGGGGAGGGGGCCAGGGGGGCATCGAGGAGAGGCACGCCGAAGGCCAACCAGATAATCACTTCACGCCCGGCGCCATCCCCCCCCCCCGCCGCGAATGAATCCCAGCATCGTCTCTCGAATCCCATTCTACTCCAACCGCTTCCCCTTCGCCGAAACCTCCGTGACAAAAACCACAGTCCCAACATAATTCGTAACGCGCACCAGACGCACGGACGCTTGCGTAGAAGACGCCTTCCCACACCAGCCCCAGCCACCTCAGCAAACGCCGCATCCCCGAACCGGCCATGCATCGCCAATAACAGGGAACACGCGCAGTGGACCTGGCGTCCAAACTTCTTGTGTGCGACGGCCGCATGATTGTTTCCATGATCCGCGAATTTGCGCGCCCCGCCGCGCCGCCCCTCTGCGCGCGGGTCGCGCCCCGAGGCCCTCCCACTGAGCCGCTCCACACGGGCGGCGCGTACATACACCACCATATGCACCTGCGCCGGCGTCTGCTCCTCCGCGCCTCCCTGCGCCGCGTGCGCCCTCGCGTCGTCGGACATCCAATGCACCCCGCCAGGCCCCCGACACATACGCGTGTACAGTCAACCCGTATCAGAAGGATGCGTGGCAAGGATGCAAGGGCCTTGGAGGGCCAAATTGACGTTTTTTCGAACGAGCTTGGCCAGTGCAAGTCGCTAAGGATGGGCCGAAGGGGCAAGGATGCAAGGGTACCCTTGCAAAGGTTGCCCATCCTTACAATGCGGGATGACCGTAGTGTCCGGCTCGATCCGTATTCCCATTACGAAGGACCACCCCTGCCAGAACCATGTGCGGGAACACCAGCAACGCGATCTCCCCCCCCCCCCCCCCCGGCGTCCCTTTGACGGCGCAGCAGAAAGACGCCCCGGCCTCCCGGCGCCACGGGACGAAGCACTCGCACGAACAGAACACTCGGCGGCTCCCCGCACACGCCACTGCAGCGCGCGGACCTGCCCAGCATCACGCCTGGCACAGTCCAGGCGGCCACCCTCGGTCTGTAACTCTTGCCCACACGCCTGGAGATGCAGCTCCGACGCCGTCGACCTGGCATCAGCGTCGGCCGTCGGCGCCACCGAGATCATCCCAGCCGAGCTGTAAGCTGTAACGAAAAAAGCCAGAGGAAGCCCACATGCAAGACACCGCGCCCGCCGCTCCGACACACTCCTGCAGAGGCGAGCCCCGTGCGTCACATGGAAGCCGGGCGACCCATGAACCCTTCCTTCACCCCACGGGGCGCACCTGCCAGGAACTGCTTCACCACGTCGCGCCTGCTCAAATCAGTGCCCCCAAATCCCGTTGGCGTCCCACTGCTGCCTACCGCCGTACTGCTGGTGTGTTGAAAGAAGAAGAAGACGAAGACGAAGAAGAAGAAGAAGAAGAAGAAGAGCTATGACATCTGGGGTGGCTCTGTTGTCCTGGCCATGATCTGCCACCGTGCCGCGAGGCACGAGTTGGCGTGTCCTCAGTTCCGCTGCAGTCCTCAGTGCTCGAGATTGAATGGTTCAATGACCTGGACTGCAAATTCCTGAATCCCCCGGGGCTTCTGGCGTGCCTCTCAGGCTCCAGCGCGTCTTCTCGCAAGACTGCTCTGGGCCCGCGAGGGGCCCCAGGACGGGCCAAGAGGGGCCCCGGACAGGCACGGTGGCGGACTGGGGCGAAGGCCAGTAGACATCCACAGGCCCCTGGTCATCACCCCCCTCTTGGCCGCCTCCGAGCATCGGGCCGCGTGTGTGTATCCGCGGCTCTCGCCAATGCCAGCCGCGTCGTGTGTCCATGGAGAAAACCGGGCTCCACGTCGAGCCACATCGCCGCTGCACAGGCGATGCGGCGCGATCCTCCGACCCGATCGACACAGAACCCCACCTGGGAGGCCTGGATGGCCACCCCCGCACATTGGGCCGCGCGTGTATCCGGCTCTCGCCCAGGCCAGCTGCATCGTGTGTGTGTGTGTGTGTCGGCCCCCATTTGTCCTTGATGTCCCCTTCTGCCAGTCGCCTGGCCATGGCATCCCTCTAGCTCCTCGTGCCTGCGTCCTTTCCCCGTCTTCAGGCCATGTCGTGTTGCTGCCCGGTCGGTTCCGATCGTCTGCCCCCCATCGTCCACGCCCGGATGACTTCTGGCCGGCTGCCGGCGCTGCTTGGCTCCAAGCGGCTTGAGGGCTCGGTCTCTAGACGCGTGTGCGCGCCCGCCCCTTTGACCTTTCTACGCCCTGTCGCTGCGCGCGGGGCCGCGACGTCAGAATGTGTGTGTGTATCCATTTGCTACCCGCAATGGTGGCCCTGGGTAAGAGTGACCTTTGGTGCGCGGCTTTTGGGGGGCCGCAGGGGGACCAAACACAGGCGCGCCAGACGCTCCCATCGCACCGCGCTCGGCGATCGGGGGGCCCCCATTTGGCCCGCAGCAAAGGTCACTCTGGCGAAGGGCCGCTCTTACATGTAATCGACCTCCCAAAATGTATGTGTGTGTGTGTCCCTGAGATCCGACGTTGCCGAACCTTGCAACACAGGAGTAAATCACGACTGGACCCCCAGGCCACATCTTTTTGCGTCACTCTGCGGGCCAGATCGATCTCTGAGGGCCCGAGGGTCCGACACGGAGCGAACACGCCCAGCTCGAAAAAGTGGAGCCGCCAGGATCTCAGGGTAGTCGGCCTTCCAAAATGGGAACGCTTTCTTATTCTGCGTTTCGCCATTGGGCGGAGGGAGGGGAGGGGGGGGTCTGGCTCTGGACCTCTGCAGATTGCGACTGTTTGCAACGGTGCGTCCTATGGGGGAGACTTCACCTGCTCGAAGCAGGCGCCCCAGCAACCAAGATCTACTCCATGGGCGGGGGGGATGGGGTGCGAGGGCCTGCGCAGATCGGCAAAGCAATGAATCAGAAAACGATCACAACGTGTGCGTGTGTGTGTGCCTGTCTGTCTGTCTGTCTGTCTGTCTGTCTGCCTGCCTGCCTGCCTGTCTGTCTCTGTCTGTCTGTCTGTCTGTTTCTGTCTGTCTCTGTCTGTCTGTCTGTCTGTCTGTCTCTGTCTGTCTCTGTCTGTCTGTCTGTCTGTCTGTCTGTCTCTGTCTCTGTCTGTCTGTCTGTCTGTCTGTCTGTCTGTCTGTCTGTCTGTCTGTGTGTGTGTGTCCAGCTTCCTGGCAGGCGGGGCGAGGCCGCCGCGGCACGCCGCCAAGGGCCGCCCCTCGGGGCCCGGGGGCTGCGGCGGAGGCGCGAGAGGCGGCGCAGAGCTCGAGCCCCTGAATGGGGTGGAGGGCAGGGGGGGGGGAGGGAGGAGGCAGAGGGGGGGGGGGGGGGGGGCAGCCAGGGAGGGAGAAGGAGAGATAGAGAGAGAGAGAGAGCGGGAGTGAGGGCGAGGGAGTGGGAGAGGGGAGGGAAGAGGGGGATGGGGGGGAGCGAGGACTGTACTTATATATGCACCTACAAAATTGTATATAATTTAGATGCACGCATGCACGAATGCATGCATGCATGTCTGCGTGCGCGCATGTATGTAAGTATGCAGATCTGTAGGTATGACTGTAGATATGTAGGCAGGTCGGTAGGTAGGCAAGCAGACAGGCAGGCATGCAGGTAGATATGTAATATAAGTAGGCAGGTCGGTAGGTCTGTACTGTATCTATGCATGTATGGATGAGAGGGTGATAGAGAGAGGGTGGGGAAGAGAGCGAGAGGGAGGCAGATACCGAGAGAGAGAGAGATAGAGAAAGAGAGAGCGAAACAGATAGAGAAAGAGAACGAGAGAGCGAGAGAGAGAGAGAGAGAGAAAGAGAGAGAGAGAGAGAGAACACGCAATGACAGAGTGAGGCCATGCGAGAGCGAGAACAAAGGACTGGTGTAGGGGGTGGAGCAGAGAGAGGGATAAGGACGGAACGTGGGGCGAACGCAAGGCCAGAGCGGGAGAGGTCGAGGGCAGATGCGAAGGTGTAGCAAGTCTCCGCATCGGGACTGGACTCTCGCAGCAAGCATAAGCTAGACCACGTTGTTAACCCGCCACACAGGTTGCCGAACCATGGGTCACATGCTGTCATACCGTCGCAGACCATGTCGGTGCTCAGCATCGCGTAGCACTGCAGCCATAAAACCGTTCACACAATTGCGTTGTATTTCATAGCATAGCGTAACAACGCATGTCATACCGTACCATTGCATACCATTGCATGTCATCGTTTTGCACGCCATGATACGCCACAGCGCAGCGTGGCATGGCGTCATGTAGCATATCATGGCACGAGTGGCGTGCATTAACGCATACAGAGCAGAACAGCCGTAACAGAGTAGAACACCAGGAATCCCAACAGGACAAAGAGCGTGGCGAAAAGCTGGCACCCCGAAATCATGAAAGTCGGCCTGGCAGGGGACGTCCAGGAAGCGTTCCTTTAGACAGAACGAACCAAAGACCATCAAGCAAGCCAGAATGGAGAAATCGTGGTCACGGGTCTTACCCGAGATGCCATTGCGAACTTACGCGGTGGCTGACGCGGGCTGCGAGCGCGGCACGCCACATTGGAAACGAGGGCGCTTACGCGGCACCTTACGCGGGAAACTGACGCGCCAATGTCGGCGCAGACAATCCCGTTTCCTTCCCGCGCTGACTCCCATTCCCATGACAACTCGCCTGGGAATCGCTCCTGGATGCGTAACCGCGTATGCTCGCAACGTCAGGGATTTGAACCATGAGCCGCCCGACGGCGACCTAATACAACGATCACTGACAAACAGCCACGGACGCCGTCCTCACTTTATCGTAGCCTCAACTTCCTGATGCTACGGCTGACCTCTGCCTCTGCAATCCCAGCATAGTCGAGATAACGAGATAACGACGGGGTGGTGGCGCCCTGTTGAATGCAAACTCCTGATCCTGCAGCACGGCGCTCCCGGGGGAGGCTCGGGCCAGGAGGCGGGCGAGCTCCGGCCAGGGCACCTCCCCGAACATGTGGAAGCGGATGCCGCGCTGCTGGAGCAGCCCTATGGTCTCCGTGTCGGGCTCGGGCGCGGCGCAGTGGTGACACCTGGTGAGGTCGTCCACCAGGAGCACCTGCCGCCCCTCGGCAGCCGCATCCTCCAGCCAGGCCGCCTTGTCGCGCGCGGCGTCCACGAGGATGAGCTGCCCGTAGGCGAACCCGTGGAGCTCGAGCCAGCGCCGCGTGGCCTCGAACGCATCCGGCGAGCCCCGCGCCGACAAGAAGGACACCTCCCAGTCGCGCGCAAGGCTCGCCAGAGCTGCCGCTGCCCCTGGGATCGGTGGGTCCTGGAGCAGCTCCTGCAGAGACAGTGCCCTGCCCATGTCCACAGAGACCCCAGGCCACGAGGGGACGGTGGCCCTACGTATGCGCTCGCGTGCGTCGCTCACAGTGTGATCCACGTCGACGAAGAGTCGCCCTCTCCGGTTGAGGGCGTAAGATATGATCGCCTCTGCACAATCAGTATAGGCATCAATGCGGCGCAATCGGTAGTCTTCCGTCTCCTTGAACTCGCGGTAGGGTCTTTGAGCCCACGCTGGCGGTGGCTCGGGGTTGAGATCGAAAGTTGGCGACACCTCAAACACCACTGGTGGTCCGCCTCCCTCGGGGAATGCGATGTCCATGCCACCGATGTCAATCCCGGTCCTGGACGCAAAGTCCCGAACGAAAGCGCCGAGCTCTTCGCGCGGCACATCAAAGTCCAGCACGGAACCCGAGGCGCTGCCCGAGCTGAGCGTATCGGCGGAGGGCTTCACCCGCCAATAGCCGTGGATGATCTCGCCACCGACGTACGTGATGCGCAGATCGCGGGAGATGCGCAGGCGCTGCTGGACGAGGCAGGGGACACGGTGCTCCAGGAGCCACTGGCCCAAGGCTTCCGGCGCCTCTGGGAAACCAAAAAGATACCGATGCCGCTACTCCTGGGAAATCTCCCGTGGTGCGTCCTGGTCAAAATTTCGAGGTAGATCCCGCCGTGGCGACGAGGGCCTCCCAGGAGGCCCAGAAAGGCGAAAGCACGGCAAGGGTGGGGCTATTGGTACCTTTTCCTTCTCTGAGCCTCGGCCAGCGTACCACAGGCCCGCATGCCTCGGCTCGACGCAGCGTAGGGGTGCTTGAGCATCACCGGGAAGTCACCCTCCGACAGCTCCCCGCTCTGCTGCAGCCGCGCGAGCTCCTCCGAGCGAGCACAAGCTGCGAGCGGAGCGACCAGCGCCCAAACGGGAAGGCTTCGGGCTAAGGACAGGGCAACCTCCAGGCCACGCATTGTGAGCTCTCCGACCCCCCTTCGCCACACTCCCCTGCCACAGTAGACACACACGATACGACATCTCGGCATAAGAGATCTGAGGGCATGCTTGTCGTCGAGTTCTGAAGATGTGAGCGTTTTATTGCTCGGCGTTTCGACATTGGGCGGAAGGGGGGGGAGGGGTGGGGGTCTGGCTCCGGACCTCTGCTTCGAGCGACTGTTTGCAGCTCCGAGGGGCGGGGGTCTGGCTCCGATGGGGGGCGACCCCACCTGCTAGAAACAGGCGCTAAAAACAGCCAAGATCTACTCCACGGGTGGGGGCGAGGGCCCGCGCCGATCGGCAACACAATGAATACAGTCAACCCGTATGATGAGGATGCGCGGTAAGGATGCAAGGGCCTTTGAGGCCCATGTGAACATTTTTCGAACGAAGCTGGCCAGCGAATGTCGCTGACGATGGGCCGAAGGGGCAAGGATGCAAGGGTGCCCTTGGGAAGGTTGCCCATCCCTACTATGCGGGCTGAGTGTATAGAGGCCTCATAGATGGGGTCCGAGTAGATGGGGTTGGAGGATCGCGCCGCATCGCCAATGCATCGGCAATGCGTCGTCGATGCACCGCCGACGTCCGCGATGCATCGGCGATGCGGTGCGATCTTCCGACCCCATCTACTCCAGCCCCATCTAGGAGGCCTAGACTGTAAGATAACGACCACCCGAACATCCTGCCCCAGGGCTTCTCGGCTTCCCCATCGGCGTCCGCCCGCGGCGCTCGAGAAAAGCGGGCGAGAGCGGGGAGCACCAGGGCTCGTCGTGGGGCCTCCCCGTGGGGCCCCGGATGTGTGCGCGCGAAAGAAAAACCCGCGTGCTCCCCCACCCCAGCAGCGAAGGCCACGTTCTTCGTGGAAAGTGATCTTTTTCTTTTTCGGCGGGCGTTTCGACATGGGGCGGAAGGGGGGGGTGTCTGGCTCTGGAGCCTCTGCTTAGTGCGGCTGTCTGCAGCAGTGCGTCCTGTGAGGGAGGGAGACTCCACCTGTCCGAGACAGGCGCCAAAAGCAGCTAAGATCTACTCCATGGGGAGGGGGTTGCGAGGGCACGCGCCGATCGGCAAAACACGGAATAAGGAAACGATCACAACAACCAGCAGACGCTTCGGCCCGCGGCCACATCTCCGCGAACCTCACCCCAAGCTGTGACCCGCCAGCTCAGCTGCCCCGAAGCGCCACACGCAGCACGTCGCGTATGGACACGGAGCTCTCCACACGCAGACTGAAGAGATGCAGGTCTGGCGCGGTGCGCTCGCCGGAGCGTGGCCCGATGCGTGGAGCCAGCACGCAACGTGCTGGCACGGACGCCTGGGGCACGGTGCGTGCTGCGTCTCAACAGCGGGCGCACCGAAGCAGCCGAGCGCACCACGGGCTGCAGCCCGCCGTGAAGGGGCCCTGAGACACACAAATAAATACACACAAATAAAAGGACTCCCCATATTTTCCTATATCTTCTAGGCTTTTCTCTTCCCCCCCCCCACTTCCCATATTTTTCCACATCTTCCTGGGAATCGACGCTTCATTGTGTCTGTGTGTTTCCTCCCCTCCAGCCCGCCGGTCCTCCACGCTGCCCACCACCCAGCTGCGCGGGGCGCCGACGCCCGTGCGCTCGAAGAGCTCCCGCAGCGCCAGCTTGTCCTGGTAGTAGCGCGCGGTCTCCGGCCGCGGCCAGGCCACGGCGCCGCGCGCCCCCAGGGCGCCCACGTGCTCCCCGATGGCCACCCCGAGGCCCGGGGCGCCCGCGAGGCGGCCGCCGGCGAACATCCGGTCTCGGGCGCTGCCGGGAGGCGCCCCCCGGCCTCCAGGGGGGCCCCCAGGAGGTGCAAGAAAAGAGAGGCCTCGTGCGGGGCCCCCCCCAGGCGCACCCCCGCACGAGGCCCAGGGGTGGGGGGGCCTGTAGGGGGTCCCCGAGGCGCGGCGCGGAGAGCCGGGGGCACCTGGGGCCGGGGGCACCTCGAGCAGCCCCCGAGCTGGTTGATGCGCCAGAAGTACATGGTGCCCCTGCGGGCCTCAGCGGCGGCCGCGATCACCCACCGCCTCCCTCCCCCCCCCCTGCCTCCCCCCTCCGCCCCGCGGTTCGAGCAGGGGATCGACTACAGAATTGACTCACCCCAAAACTGATTGGCTCGTCGAATCTGCGAGAAATGCGTGGAACGAACTACGAGCTTTCTACGTAGTTTTTGTACAGTCGGCGAGAACATGAAATTTGGGGTCAACTAATTCTGTAGTCGATAGATTACTCGAGCTGTCCCCCCTTCGACCGTCCTCCTCGCCCGCCTGTCCCTCCCACGGGCTCAACAGAACGTGGAGGGCGGGGGTGGGAGGGGAAGGGGCGGGAAAGAGGAGTGGGGCTATGCAGTGACGATTCCGAGAATGATAGCAGGAGCGCCCATCAGTGACCCGACTTCTTCCTTCACGACTGAGTCGATTGCTCTAAGAATGAAGCGGTCGAGGCTGTCAGGAAACTCGCGCCTGAGAGAGGCAGTCGGCCGTCCGACGTGCGACCTGGGCCTCGAGAGCGAACGAATGAGGTGGGGCTGCTTTCGGCAGGCTGGGCCCGTCTCGGGCCGCAAGGCTGTCAGGCGACACTTCTGACACCGTGCCTGACGCGACCGTTTGCGGCCAGTACAAGGCTCTCGTCCGCTTTTACCTGGCTGGCAGGCCTTCCTCGGGTTGCCCGGGTTGCCCCAAATCTTCCTCGGGTTGCCTAGGCTTCCTCGAGTTGTCCGGATGCCCTGCTGCCCAAAATGCCCGGTTGCACGCTTGTGCAATTGCCCGGTCGCCCGGGTTGCCATGCTGTCAGGTTGCCGGGCGATGCGATGTAAACAAGTGTGAAGCAAATCAATGCCCAGCAACGCCAAGCAATGCCAAGCAACGCAAGACAATGCAACTCAATAACAAGCAACGTACACCAATACAAAACAAGGCAGCAAACTGCCAAGCAAAGCAAGGGGATGCCAGACAAGTCCAAGCAATGCAACGCCAGATACGCGAAGCAGTATCAAGCACTGCCAATCAATGTCGAGAAACGCCAAGAACTGCCAGGCAATGCAAAGCAATGCCCAGCAATGCAGTGTCAAGCAAAGCAAACAATGCCAAACAACGACAAGCAACACCAAGCGATACAAAACAACGCCAAACAATGCAAACCAGTGCCAAGCAGTACTCAGCAATGCCGAACAATGCCAAGCAACGTCAGGCAAAACAAGGCACAGCGATGCCAAGCAAGGCAGCGTAATCACAAACAACGCAACACAATGCAAAGCAATGCCACTCAACACCAAGCAATGCCCAGCAACGCCAACCACAACACAGAAGTGCCAAGCAATCAAACACAAATAAATGCTAAGGAACGCAATCTCAAGTAACATGCCAAGCACCGCCTAGCAATGTAAACACTGCAAAGCACGGTCTAGCAACGCCAATCAATGCAATGACATGCAACGCAAAGCAATGCCGAATAATGCCATGCAACGCCAAGCAACAATACCAAGCAATACTGAATAATAGCGAGCAATGTCATGGTTGTCTGGGGGCCCAGGTTGCCCGGTTGCCTAGCGATGCAACGTAGAGCAATGCAAAGCACAGCAAGGCAACGCCAAGCAAAACAAAGCTAAGCAACGCAACGCACTGCAACGCAACGCCAAGTAACGCAACGCAGCGCAAAGCGAAGCAATGCAATGGCAAGCAACACCAAACAATGCCAAGCAAAGCCAAGCAATGCCCAGCACTGAAATGCAAAGTAAAGCGAATCAATGCCAAGCAAAGCACTTCCAAGATTCGCAACGCAATGTCCAGCACTGCTAAGTAATGCCAAGCACCGCCGAGCAACGCCAAACAACACCAAGCAAAATCAAGCAACGCTACGCGTTTCCAAGCACTGCCAAGCAACGCCATGCAACGCAAAGCAATGTAGTGTAATGCAAAGAAAAGCAACGCCAAGCAATGCCAAGCAACGTCAAGCAACGCCGAGCAATTCTCGGCAACGCCAAGCAATACGAAGCAATGCCGAACAATGCCAAGCAATGCCAGGCAATATAATGCCACGCAAAGCAACGGACAGCCAAGCGACGCAAAGCAATGCAAAGCCATGCAAAGCAATGCCAGGCATTGCCAGGCAATGCTAATCAACGCAATCAAGCAACGAAACGTAATGCCAAGCAGCGCACAACAATCCAAACCAGCAGAAAGCAACGCATAGCGATGTCAAGCAACGCCAAGCAACGCCAAGCAAAGCCCAGCCATGCCATGCAAAGCGAAGCAGTGCAGAGCATTGCCTTCCTTGCTCAGTGACTGGCCCAGGAAGCTCTCCCCGAATTTGGCTCGCGCGAGGTCCATGAGTTTGAAGCAGCCGGGACAAAAGAAGGCCATGGTGCACCCGCCCCGCGGCCACCCACGAAGTGCTCGCGGGAACCTGGGCGCAGGCGGCGGGGACTTTTGCCGTCGGCGGCGAGGCAGAAGCGGTCCGCTCCGGCGTGTGGCGACTCGGGGTAACCGAATGGCTAGGTGGCCGGCATGCAGGGAGGGGGAAAAGGGACGAGGCCAGCCGCGCGCAGGGGGAGGGGGGAGGGAGGAGCACTCCGACGTGGAAGACTCCTGCGTCGAGCGGGCCGGGGCGGCCCGCCGTGACGGCGGGCAAGCAGCGGCGAAGCGTCCTGGCTCGCCTATAGCCCCACCAAACAATGTTCTAGGAACCGTTCGTGGTTTCCACGAAATGTTCTTAGAACATGTCTGGCGGAGCCTGTCTTCTTTTATCACATCGGGTCTACGTTCTAAGAACACTGATTTTGTTCTTAGAACATTTTGGGGTTCTGCGAACATTTCGTAGTATGACTATGGGAATGCCGAGTGACTCGGGCAGGCTCCCCTGGGCCTCCTGGGCCGCCCCCGGCCAGCCATATATTCCTCTTCCTATATCCTATATTTTTACAAGCCCGGGGGGGGGGGGGAAAACCATCCCCCCCCAAAAAAAAACTGGACCCCCGGGATCTGGGGTTCTCGGGCTCCCTTGGACGTCCTTGGAAAAGGTCACCCGGCTTTCCGGGTCTCCACAAGAGCCTTGCCAGCAGACCCAGGGCGATCCGAGGGGTCATCAAAAAGGCTCAAGGGAGGCCCCAGACAGCACAAGAGCGCTCCAAGAGGGACTCCAATTGCGTCAGGACGGCCTAAAAGACCCCCAAGGCACCCCAAAAAGCTTTCCAAGGGGCCTTCAAAACACAAAAATCGTCCCATTCCCTCCGTAAAACTTACAATTTTAGTATATTCGGCTTTCGGATTTCATCAGCTTTCAGAACGGTTTCAAAGCCCCCGAGATCGCCCCCACGATCGCCCACGAGAGCCCCAAGACAGCCCATAATGGAACCAAGAGGCCCCCCAAGGGCTCCCAGCACAGACCCAAAAGGGCCATGGGAGGTCCCTGGAAGTGCCCAAGATGGGTCCGAAGGGGGCTCCAGCGGGCCCAAGCTCCCCAAGACGGCCCAAAAAGGCCCCAGGACGGCCCATGAAGGCGCCAAAACGGCACACGAGGGCCCCGAAAACACCCCCACGACGTTTCCGAATGTCAACATGAAGACCCCCAAGGCACCCCAAAAAGCTTTCCAAGGGGCCTTCAAACCACAAAAATTGTCAAATTCCCTTCGTAAAACTTACATTTTTAGCATATTCGCCTTAGCTTTCAGAACGGTTTCAAGGCCCCCGAGATCGCCTCAAGACGCTCCAAAAGGCCCCCAAGAAAGCTTCAAGACGGCCGAGCCGGGCCCCACGATCGCCCACGAGAGCCCCAAGACAGCCCATAATGGAACCAAGAGGCCCCCCAAGGGCTCCCAGCACAGACCCAAAAGGGCCATGGGAGGTCCCCGGAAGTGCCCAAGATGGGTCCGAAGGGGGCTCCAGCGGGCCCAAGCTCCCCAAGACGGCCCAAAAAGGCGCCAGGACGGCCCATGAAGGCGCCAAAACGGCCCACGAGGGCCCCGAAAACACCCCCACGACGTTTCCGAATGCCAACATGGAGACCCCCAAGGCACCCCAAAAAACTTTCCAAGGGGCCTTCAAACCACAAAAATCGTCCAATTCCCTTCGAAAACTTTCAATTTAAACAGATTCGCCTTTCGGATTTCATCAGCTTTCAGAACGGTTTCAAGGCCCCCGAGATCGCCTCAAGACGCTCCAAAAGGCCCCCAAGAAAGCTTCAAGACGGCCGAGCCGGGCCCCACGATCGCCCACGAGAGCCCCAAGACAGCCCATAATGGAACCAAGAGGCCCCCCAAGGGCTCCCAGCACAGACCCAAAAGGGCCATGGGAGGTCCCCGGAAGTGCCCAAGATGGGTCCAAAGGGGGCTCCAGCGGGCCCAAGCTCCCCAAGACGGCCCAAGAAGGCCCCAGGACGGCCCATGAAGGCGCCAAAACGGCCACGAGGGCCCCGAAAACACCCCCACGACGTTTCCGAATGCCAACATGAAGACCCCCAAGGCACCCCAAAAAGCTTTCCAAGGGGCCTTCAAACCACAAAAATCGTCCCATTCCCTTCGTAAAACTTACAATTTTAGCAGATTCGCCTTTCGGATTTCATCAGCTTTCAAGACGGTTTCAAAGCCCCCGAGATCGCCTCAAGACGCTCCAAAAGGCCCCCAAGAAAGCTTCAAGACGGCCGAGCCGGGCTCCACGATCGCCCACGAGAGCCCCAAGACAGCCCATAATGGAACCAAGAGGCCCCCCAAGGGCTCCCGCACAGACCCAAAAGGGCCATGGGAGGTCCCCGGAAGTGCCCAAGATGGGTCCAAAGGGTGCTCCAGCGGGCCCAAGCTCCCCAATACGGCCCAAGAAGGCCCCAGGACGGCCCATGAAGGCGCCAAAACGGCCCACGAGGGCCCCGAAAACACCCCCACGATGTTTCCGAATGCCAGCAATCATTGATTTTGCTCCCATGACATTTCACATTGTGACCCAGTCGTTGAGGGTCTCGTGGCATGCAGCGAAGATGCCCTAGGATGCCCCGTACGAGTTGCATATGCATGTTCATACCCTTACACACATAAAATTATATGTGCATATGTACGCTGTATACACACATGCAACAATGTAAGCATATTGTATACACCTAGACATTTATACGGAACGTGCATGCACGTGCGCGTATATACATGCATGCGCGCATGTACGCACGCACGCATCCCGCTTGCGTGCAGAACTCAAAGAACCAAGGTGCATGGCGCGCAGCGCCAATGCAGTCTTGTATATATATATATATATATATATATGTAGATACAAAGATATGTATATATGTATGAAAGGGCACGGGGCGGCGGGCCCCCCCCCCTGCACGGGACGTCTGTCCTGGGCTGTCGGGCTCCCCCAGCGGCCCCCCCCTGGGGGGGGCCGTTGAGCCATGCACGGACGGAGGCCCAACGGCCACGCCCTGGTTTTCTGGGGGTTTGTTATTAAGGCAAGGGGGGGGGGGAGGAGGTGAGGAGGAGGAAGGTGAGGCGGAGGAGAAGGAGGCGGAGGTGGAGGAGGAAAGAGATGAGGAAAGGGGAGAAAGAGAAGAAGAAGAGAGGAGCGGAGAGGAGGAGGCGGAGGAGGAGGAGGAGGCGGAGGAGGGGGAGGCGGAGAAGAGGAGGAGGAGGAGAGGAGGAGGAGGAGGAGGAGGAGGAGGAGGAGGCAGCAGAGGAGGAGGCGGAGGAGGGGAGGCGGAGGAAGAGAGGAGGAGGAGGAGGAGGAGGAGGAGGAGGAGGAAGAGGAGAGGAGGAGGAGGCGGAGGAGTGGGAGGCGGAGGAAGAGGAGGAGGAGGAGGGGAGGGGGGGGAGGAGGTTGAGAAGGAGGAGAAGGAAGGACGAGGATGAGGCAGGTTGGAAGGAGCAGTCAGTCGCAGCCATTCCACACCTCTGCTGGATTGATCTTTGCTCCGATCCGCCAGCCCCAGAAGCCCAGAGATCTCGACCCCTCCCCCCCTGGGGCCTCCCGTCCCTGATGTTTTTTTTGTTCGTTGCCCCTGGGACCGAACGCGGCCCCCAGAGAGGCAGATCTGTTTCACGGGGGGCCGGCTTGGTGGGAGGAGGGGAAGGAGGGGAGGGGACAGAGGAGGAGGAGGAGGAGGAGGAGGAGGAGGAGGAGGAGGAGGAGGAGGAGGAGAATGTCACCACGCCTCACGACAACGGAGGTCTGGGCCGGCAGCCTCCCGCTAACATCAGGAACACGCCACCCACGGGACCTGCACCGGCCCTTGCCACGCCCATCCTGGCGGCCACGCCCACCCTGGCGCCTCCAACGGTACACATGCCCTCCCGGCTTTTGCCCAGGGAGGCGTATGCACTGGTCCTGGGCGTGGGATCGGCCTGTCCAAGATCGCTGTTGGTATATCGATGGCTTCCTGCGACTCACCTCGGCGGCGGCCGAGATCTCGTGGGGATCCGTGAGGAGGACGTCGGGAGAAACAAACGCCGAGATTGCAACAACTCACGATGCTGGAGGTCTTGGCGGAGGATGGGAGGGGGAGGGGATGGGAGGAGGAGGAGGAGGAGGAGGAGGAGGAGGAGGAGGAGGAGGAGGACCAGTGTAAACCCAAGAGTCATCAACGATGTTGGAGTAACTCCCTCTTTACAGGCCCCTACAACTGTTTATTTTCATTGCTGGAATTGCTTCGTTGGAAGACACCCGTTTGAAGGCCCCGAAGCATGCCAAAACATTGTTCTCGGGATTTCAACGCTACGGATCAACCTGATGCTACTTGACGATGCTGATCCGTGCCAGAACGCCATTCCTCGGACTTCAGCACAGAGAATCAACATAACTGTTGCACCCGCATGATCCTGAATCCTTTCGAAACACATGTTCTGGTACGTTGATGATGGGATTCCGTGAAACTCTTGAACAGGTTGTAAACGAATGTGCGCGGCAGTAAGGCGAGAACCACATTTCGAAAAGGGGCCGCCCTCAATCCGTGAAGCACTTGCAAATGTTCAAAAAGAATGTGCGCCGAGCGAAGGCGAGAGCCACATTTTGAAAACGCCCCGCCCTCAATCCGTGAATCTCTTACAAATGTTTAAAACCAATGTGCGCCGCTCTAAGGCGAGAGCCACAGTTTGAAACCGACCCGCCCTCTATCTGTGAAGCTGTTGCCATGTTTTAACTTCAGAAGCATAAATGGTGATGAAGTCTCAGGCGAAACGCCCGGCCCGCCCTAAAAACTGGCCTCGGGGTGCAACAGGGAGAAATTACCTATAAGGAAAAGGAATGGATGAGGAGTGGGGAGGAGGAGGAGGAGGAGGAGGAGGAGGAGGAGGAGGAGGAGGAGGAGGAGGAGTCAGGCTGGCCAGGTCGAGCGAGTCAGGGGGGCCCTGCCCGTGTGCGGCACGGCTGGATGCCAGGATCGGGATGCGCTCCCACCGCGCAGACGGAGGGCGCTCGCGCGCGGCCCCGCTTCCCACGACCTCGCAGGCGAGCCCAGGATCGAGTCGATGAGCCGGATCGGGCGATCGGCATGAACCGGATCGGCAGGCATCGGCAGGCCAGTAGGCCTCCAGTGAGAAATTGGATCCCAGATCGGAATCCGACATGGGATCGAATCGGGATCGGAACCCATCGAAGTCGAAGCGGGTCGCATCGGCGGCATCGAGGCGAGCCCTGACCTGGCCACGGGGAACCCGTGCGGGCCGCGCTGGGCGGGAACGGCCAGGCCTCCGAGGGGCGCGGCGGAGGCGAAGCATGCGCCGCGCGCTCGCACGGCACTGCCACGCTCGCTCGCGGGGTGCGCGGCGCTCGGGCGAGGTCGGCATCTGGCCATCGCTCGGACGTCCATTCACTGTGTTTTTTTCTGGTTTCGTGCGTGGCTTGTTCGCCAAATGATCAAGGTTGCTTCTCGATGGTCCTCGCCGAAGGAAAAATGCACACGTCCGAGCGATGCCAAGGCATGTGTCGCTCGCTCCCGCGCGGCCCCGCTGCCGCTGCCGCTCGCACGAGCCATGCGACCATGGAGCCGCGCTGGCACGCCGCTCCCGAGCGACACGCGCGCGGAGCTCGGGCGAGGGCGGCGAGTCGCCCGCTCGCGCGGGCCCCCCCCTCCCCTCCTCGATCCTCCTCCCCTCCTCGATCCTCCTCCCCTCCCCTCCTCCTCCCCTCCTCGATCCTCCTCCCCTCCTCGATCCTCCTCCCCTCCTCCTCCCCTCCT